CACTCACACACACACTCACATACACTCATACACTCACACTCAGTCACACACACTCACATACACTCATATACTCACACTCACACACAGTCACACACACTCACACACTCAGTCACACACACACTCACACACATATACCTGGCCTCTTTATCAAGCTGCATGCACTCACGCATACACACATGCACTCACTCACTCACGCATACACACTCACACATACACACATGCACTCACTCACTCACACACACATACACTCATATACTCACACACACAGTCACACACACTCACTCGCACACTCACTCACACACACACAGTCACACACACTCACACTCACACTCAATTCTTGACCTGGTTTCACGTTACTTGGCCATGCATTCCTCAAACAGTCCTCACTTCCCACTCCCCAACTTAAATGGTGTGGTACCCCCACTTGGAGGTTTCTGTTCCCTACAACCCAGACTCCCTGCCTCAGTCTTCAGGCCCATAAGCTCATGGGACGAGCTAGCCAAGGCTGCGTCAACCTGTTTGTTCCAGCTCTGGGCAGGGAGCCACCTGTCGTGGTCTGCCTGGGACATACTTGGTTCATGATGGCGATTCTTGAGTTAATTATGAATAGCACCACCTTTCACTCATGAATGTGTCTTGGTTTGCTCAATAAATTCCATGATCACCTTGTGCCATGGGACAGAGAGAAGCCCGTGAAGACTAAGACTGCTGGGTGACATGGGTCAGACATGCTGCGGGTCAGGGTCATCCCCAGCCTTGAGCATCCACACTAACCTACCTTGGGTTTCGGTGGAGGAGGCACACTTTTTTTCTTTACTGGTTTCTCCTTTTTCTCCTCTTTCTTCTTTTCCTCCTGTTCCAACTGAGTCCATAGTGTCATTTCATCAACATCTTCGACTATGATTTCGCATAGTTGGCCATCCTTCTGTAACCAGAGTTTAAAGAGAACTGTGGGTAGGTTGTTTTTGTACAACTTGGTTCAAATCCACCACGTCCCGACCTCTTTTCTTTTCTTTTTTATTAAATTTATTTTTCTTTAACTTTTGTTTATTTTATTTTATTTGACCAGAGAGGGTGAGAGAGAGAGAGAGAGAGAGAGAGAGGAAGCTGCCAGGTCCAGAACTCGAACCACAGTCAGTTGTGTGGGAGTCCAGCGCCCTTAACCATCATGCCACCTGCTGGCCCCCCGACCTCCTTTGTTGCTCAGTGGCCGCAGGCACGGGACTCCATCCTGATTAACCGTGGAGATCTCCCCCATCCCCTGCGCCTTCAACTTCAGGAGTATTGGCTGTCTCTTACACAACACCGAATGCCCATGATTTCGAGACAGGTGGTTCAAATCCCTTCAGGCCCGTGACCCCGTAAATTTCCCATGGTTAGAGGCTAGGTGGTTCCATCATGCTTAGGTCTGCACGCCTCTGGCCACACGTTGGTGGGAAGAGTGGAGGAGGGGAGAGAGCAATGATGTCATAAGGGCTCCTGTGACTCAGGCCCCGGGATAGCTTCCAACACTTGAGCCCTTTTAAGTGAAAGTGCAGAAGTCTTATTTATTCTTCCCTGCAGAGGATGCCAGAATTTGACTAAAACGGCAGGGCCCGGGAAACACTGACTCACTGGCAGGAAGGTGTTAAAAGTCGCTTCAGGCTGGTTAATAAAGATGTAAGTTGAGACGCATTCAACCCTCATCAACAGGAAGCTCAATGGTACATATTTTAGTTCCAACAATGGAACCGAACAGCAATGAGGCAGAATTTGTTTACACCAAAATTCTTTTTTTTTTTTTTGAAGAATTATTTTATTTAACTGTATTTATTCATTTGTTTATTTCAATTCGACCAGAGAGGGACAGAGAGAGAGAAAGGAAGAAAGCCGCCAGGTCTTGCACTCGAACTACGGTTGGCCATGTGGGAATCTGTCACCTTTAACCACCATGCCACCTGCCAGCCCCTGTAACAATTCTTAAGCAGGTGCTCCACAACAGATACTAAGTACATGAAAAGATACCTCACCCCATTGCTCATGAGAGAAAGAAAAAAATGAGAACCACAGTGAGATCCCTCTAGGCATCCCAGAGAATGGCTAAAATAACACCGACAGCACTAAGTGCTGGCAAGAATGTAGAACGACGGCGTCTCTTATTCACTGCCGTTGGAAAGGTGTGAGACAGGAGCAGGGAGCATCTATTTGAAGATAAAGGTGTTGGATTGAACCTAAATACCACGTGGCATGTCTGGGTTTCTTAGTTAGGATAATGGCCCCCCTAATTTTTTTTATTACTATATTATTACTTTTCATTTCCATCCAGCCATAGATGGGATGTTCAGTCTTGACTGGAGGGAGAGATCCACTCCAGGGTGGGCATGTCCAGCCTCGCATGCTCATAGATACCCACTGATGCCTCAGGGGAGCCAAACATGGGGATATGTCCAAGGAGACGCACGCACATGAGTGGGGGCATCCCTCCCTACCAAGGCAATGCCCAGCCTTGTATAAAGGTGTACCTGATAATGTGAAAGAATGTCCACTCTCGAATGACGCTACCTGAGCACGGCACTGAGGCCAGGCGCTTGGACTTTGGCTCTGCCGTGAATCATGTCGCTCTTGGGCCTAACTTTCTAACTTATAGAGACCTGGATCCGAAGTCCTTAGAGTGTAAAGACTTAAGGAGTTTGTGAGACACAAAACACAGGCCAGATCTGGGAGCCAGCAGGTGTGGTGGTGGTTCCCACATGGCTATGTGGTTCAAGTCCCAGATCTGGCGGCTTGAAAAATGCACCAGGCACATGTGAGTGTGTGCACAAAATCCTGAGAGGGGAGCAGAGAAGACGGGATGGTGGTGTGGCCATCCTTCCTAGGGGGTGACTTCTCACTTTCCTTCTCTCTTTCTCTGTCTCTTTCCGGCAAGTGCATATGCTCTATAGCAAAAAAACTAAAAGACACACACACGCACACACATACACGCACACACATACACGCACACACATGCACAGAGCAGGTCAGAGCTTTATTGGGATAAGGAATCAGCCTTCTTCAGATGGTCTCTTAACACCAGGATTTCGATGTGGAACCCAGCCAGGCGGAAGTGGTTTTATATTCCCAGAAAAGGGCATGGGCCTGGCTGGTGCCTGGATCATGCCCCCCAGCACTTGGCAGAGGTGTGGACTGATCACCGCACGCAAGGGGACTGCAGCCTGACTACCACCCCCCCTTCTATGTTGCCAGCCGTTTCTATCCCAGCGGCCTCTCCACCTCGGCTTTACCAGCATGTGCTCATCAGCGCTGGGTGTCGGATACGGCGGTGCCTGGCACTTGAGTGAACCCCACCCAGGAGAATCTTTACAGCTGCTTTGCTTTCTGTAGCCTTTAGAAAGCAGAGCTGGGGGCCGGCATGTGGCGTAGTGGTTGAGGGCGCTGGACTCCCACATGGCTGATGGTGGTACGAGTCCCAGACCTGGTGGCTTGCTTTCTCACTTTCCCTCTCTCTTCCTCTCTCTCTCTCTGTTCCTCTCTGGTCATATTAAAATAAATTAATAAATATATAAAGTTAAAATAAAAA